AAAACGATTTACAATTTCAAATGGTAGATGAGAGAACAGAGGTAGTGTAGTATGTAATATTCATGAGAGAGGAAGAGAAACGTGAGATGTAAAAATGCACAGGAAGAGTGGAAGAGGAGCTGACAGAGTTTGATTGTTGGTTCGAGAAAAGTAGGAAAGACTATAACAGACAAAAGAGAGGAAGATACGAATAAAGAGAAAAAAATTAAAGACATAAGAATACAAGAAAAATGCAAAACATCATTCATATGTCATGGTCCTCCACACAGTGATGCATAAAAAACATCCTGTTCTAAATATGGTAGAGAGATTAGTGAATCAAAAAATAAAATAAAATAAATCTTGCTGGAAAGTCGAACTGTCAGTGTTCAATAGTTTCTTAGCCCTGTCTCTGACGTCTCTTGGGACCACCAAACCCCGATCAGCCCTCGCAAACCCAGTCTCTATCCCACTGATCTGGGCTTCAGATACCTCAGGCTCAGCCACACTGCAGTCCCAAGATCTCAATGCTGCTCCTACTTGCAGAGAGACCACCAGGGATACACTTATGCAAAGGAGCAACCCCGAGATGCAGCAGCACGACAAGGGCCACAGCACTCTCAGCAGAAAGACCCCATGCGCCTCGAAACCTGCAGGCACCCGAACACTGGACCTGGAGGTCCCAGCTGGAGTCCCCAGACAGAGACCTTTGTGCTGGTAAACCTGCTAGCACCCGGACCCCAGGCCCTGGCTGGTCTCCCAAAATGGGTGCAGCCACGTGCAACCAAACCTGGAGTCTCCCCCGAAGCAGTCCTCTAGGCTATGGTAGCAGCTGTAGTGATGGTGGTTGTTGGCAGCAGGCAGCAGGTCAGCAGTAGTGGCTGCAGTGGCAGCTACAACTGCAGCTGTGGGGGAGTGTCACCAGGCAGTGTCTGGGGGTCATCAGCAGTGTCAGCTTCAGTTGCATTCAGGGCAGCGGTTTCTTCTGTGGCAGCAGCACCCAGAAAGAAGACCTCCAGGTGACCTTAGGCTGGCAACAGCAGAATCAGAGGCAGCAGCAATGGCAGTAGTGGTGCAGGCAATGGTTGATTAACAGGAGACTTCTGGTTTAGTGGCATCGACCACGGAGGTAGCATTGGAAATCAGGTCTGAGGTAACTGATGTTGTGCCCAGAGAAGAGGCCTCTGGGCATGGCAGCAACGGTCTGTGGCATAATAAATCTTGAAGGGACCCTCACAGTAGATCCTTTAATGCCACGAGTAATCTCTTCCACCTTCCCTAGTAGATTTCAGAATGGGCTGGAGATGACTGGAAGTCCAGGGTCACAGGATGAGGACACCAGTTTCTAGAACACTTTTTAGGGAGCCAGCCTTTGTCTTGATGTGGTGTCTTCACCAGAGCATGCACCTGTGATAGAACACATCCACTTTTCCTAAGATGGCCAGGGGAGCCACTGTGTGTTCAAGTGACTGTGACCAGAGTCCAGAGTTGAGGGAAGGACAGGGTGGCTCTGCATCCCATTGGGAACAGGGAATGCGTGGAGTCATGGCTCCCAGTGCTTCCCTGAACCTGGGCATACTGTGTGCAGGTGGAAGGGGCTCCCTTGAGTGACAGCCTATCATAACACGGTACTCACAGACCAGCAGCTGCGGCCTTCTCTGGGCCCTGCCTTTTTAAGGCAGCTCTCCTCCTGTCCCTGTTCCTTCTGAAGTTGCCTCCTCCACCTCACTCAGCTTTCCAGCTTACCTTCCTTCCTCCTACTTCCTAGGCTTGGGGACCTTTTCCTGGAGCCCCATTTTCTAATCTTGTGGTGAATGGCAGTTCTTCTTCCCCCCAGCGGCTACATTGAGCCCTGCTGCACTCTCCAACCCCAGGCACCGAGACCCTGGGTCCCATTTGCTTTCTTATTTTGGAATGAGCCCATGGACTTTTTAAATTGAGACATAATTCACATACTTTATAATCCACCCATTTACATGTACAACTCAGTGGAGGTTTTGTATATTCATTTTTTAAAATTATGGTAAAATGTAGAATCTAAATTTACCATTTTAACCATTTTAAGTGAACAATTGGATGACATTAATTATACTCACAATATTGTACAACCATCACCAGTATCTATTTCGAGCTCTCTTTTTGCCACAACCAAAACTTTTATACTCAAAAGCAGTAACTCCCCATTTCTCTCTGCCCCCAGCCCCAGTCTTTGGCACTTCTAATCTATTTTCTATCTGTATGGATTCACCTATTCTAGATATCTCATATTTGTAGAGTTATAAAAAATTTGTTTCTGGTTTCTTTCACTTAATGTTTTGAAGATTCATCCATAGTGCAACATGTGTCGGAACTTCATTCAACCTTAGACTGAAGAGTACTCCATTGTATGGATGTGCCACATTTTGTCACTTCATCTGTTGATGGACACTTAGATCGCTTTCACCTTTTTACTGTTGTGAATAACACTGCTGTAAACATTGGCACAGACACCTGTTTCAGTTTGTCTTTCACTCCCTTCAGGCACATGCCTAGAAATGGAATTGCTGGGTCACATAGTCACTTTATGTTTAGCTTTTAGAGCATTAAGCATTTGGACTGTTACAAGTGAGAAATGTGGGTCTTTATTAATTAAAATGTATCTATTTTATCTAAGTTAACGGGAAGTGCTATAATGCATGCAGCCAATTCATTCCTCACCTTCTTTTGATTTCTTAACAATTATCATCTGTGCGACTCACTTGACAGTTAATCATGGAAGACTTTGTGACATCCATTATTCTCTTTAACTGCTTATTTTAAAGCTTTCGCTATTTAACTTGTCGTGTTGTCATACAGTCTCCCCCTGAGATTTTAATCTTGAGGGCAGAGACATGTATCATATTGCTTTGTAAGGTTATTCCTGCACACTCAGCATAGGTCTCAATGATTCTTAGCTGGTGACTTCTCACCGTCCTTCTTATCAATCTTCTGGCTTATGCATAGGCTAGAAGAGAAGGAACTTTTCCAGCTAGTCCTTGCCCTACTAGAATTCTCTTTGCCTAAATAAGTTTTTTTGTAATCCTAATTAAAATAGCACAATTGGGTAGCCTTTATCCAAAATGCTGAGGACCAGAAGTGGATTTCAGATTTTTTTCAGATAATGGAATATTTGCGTATACATAATGAGATATCTTGGGGAGGGGAGCAAAGTCTAAGCACAGTATTTATTTGTGTTTTATATACACTTGACATACATGGCCTGAATGTACCTTGAAGCTTCATACAGTATTTTTAGTATTTTGACTGTGACCTACCACCTGAGATCAGGTTTTGAATTTTCCACTTTTGGCATCATGTCAGCGCTCCAGAGGTTTTGGATGTTGGATTTGGAGGCTAGGGATACTCAACGTAGAATAATAGTAGCTAACTTTTATGGAATACTTACCTTATAGCATGCACATGCACTATTCCAAGCCCTCTACTTCTATTTTCTCACTTAGTTCTCAGAACAAATCTCTGGCATAGCTGCTATTTTTTTTTAATATTCTTAGTTGTAGATGGACACAATACCTTTATTTTATTTATGTGGTGCTGAGGATTGAACCTAATACCTCACATGTGCCAGGCAAACACTCTACCTCTGAACTATATAACCCCAGCCCATAATTACTGCTCTTACCTACGTTTTATTAAGAAGGCAGAAGAATCCCAGAGAGGTTGAATAGCTATGGAGGTCCTGCTCAGCACATACCAAAGTGAGGCCTCTGGCCCATGTTCTTACCCACAGACCCATTTAGGGATCTTCTGCTCATAGCCAGAGAGGACACCATGTGCAGCCTCTGGAGGAATTATCCAGATCAGATGTCAGTTGTGCTGGATACCAGGAGCAGGGACCAGGCCCTCGCATGGCCTTTACAACACCAGCCCTTCCAGCCTCCTCTGCTTGCCTTCTGCCTGGACACTTCCATGCTGCCCTTCGAGTAGCAGAGATCCCTCTTGAAAAGAGATTGGTCTGGCCTGGCCCTTTGATGTTGGGCAAGACTCCTTGGGGGTCATTGGGAGTCCGTCAGGCTCTATAAATACCAGAAACTGACCACCTTGCTTTGGCAGTTATTTCTGAAAAACAAATGATCAGTATACAAAAATAGAACATCCATTTATAAAACTTTGCACAATCAGCAATAAGTCCCACATCCATGACCCTAACCCTCTCCCTAGGTTGGGAGGCAGTAGGACTGATTCCCAGAGAAACCCACTAACGTAAATATCTCTGAACAGAAGGTACTGGCCAAGAGCCATCTTGCGCCCGCTCCACCCTGCTGCAGATGAAGTTCCAGACAGAAGATGCCCAGGGGTTGAGAGCGACTTCCTCCCGCCCCAGCATGCAGGAGCCTTTCCACCAGGCCCTAGTGCAGTACCATCTCCTCCCTGATCTTGGCCCAGGCAATGCGGAAGCTGGAGGATGGTCAGACTTCCCCTAAGCAGGGGACTCCTGGAGGTCCCAGTGGCCTGCCCACCAAGTCACCCCACAGAGAGAGGGCACCAGATCCAGCTCTCCTCACCCTTTCTCAGCACTCCTGCGCTGTGCTGGGGGTCATACTCTCAGAGCAGTGCTGTGCCTTGGGTGACCCATCCCCCCCCTGCTAAAGCTCTCGTTCTCACAGGCCCAAGCCTACGCTTATGATCACTTTTCTTCCAATGCTGTTCTCCCAGACTGAGTCTCAGGTTGCCAGTTCTTTAGGTTCTCTCTGCTTACTCAGATAGCCTGTGCTGGTGGCCCAGAGGGGGTTGCCACACAGCTCTACTGAGCCTGCCACACGGAGGAGAGCCCAGGGTCACCCAGAAGCTTCTCACTTCCCAATTTCCAGAAGCCCAGCAGAAGCCTCTTCCTCCTCCTAAACACGTGCTTTGCTGGTGGTTAGATGGGTGACATTTGTGAACCTAGGGTACAGCAAGGGGCTTCACATGGCGAGTCCCTGAATGCTGTATGGCATCTCACTTACAACCTCCTCACAGTTCTTCTTCTCACTTTGCCTTTGCAGCACTGTCTCCAAGCAAAGAAAAAATGTCATCAGCTGCGTCACAGTCCACGACTCTCCCTACTCGGACTCCTCCAGCAACACCAGCCCCTACTCTGTGCAGCAGCGTGCCGGGCACAATAACACCAACACCTTTGACAGCAAGGGGACTCTGGAGAATCATTGCACTGGCAACCCCCGAACCATCATCGTGCCCCCCTTGAAGACCCAGGCCAGTGAGGTGTTGGTGGAATGCGACAGCCTGGGGCCAGGTAACTGGGGCCAGGGCAGGCCGGAAACTGCTCTCTGGAGGTTGCGTCTCTTGTTTTCTAACTGCTAGGAACGTGAGCGCTAGTAAAATAGCAAGTGCTCCATTATCACCCATGGTCAAGGTCAGATTCACCTTCCATAAGCAGAGTTTTCCTTTTTTAATTCTATAATTAATGCCTTGCCACCTTCATAGTGGCTCTGCTTTCAACGAGGTTGGTAAATAAGAAGTGAAAGCCTCCCGCTCTCTATCCACGGTCTGTGGTGATACCTGTGTGGAACATTCCTAACTGATGTCAAGCATCGCTCCCTGCCAGGAGCCTATGCTGCTCATTCATGTGTCCCCTGTAGGAAGAACTTTCTCCAAGTCTTTTTAGCGAAGGGTCAGATAGGCTTCTCTGAGCCCCTCCTCAAATTCCCCCTTTGGAGGAAAAATCTCCCAAGTGTGATGTTTGGCTTTATTGAGAGAATGACCATCCTGAGAACTGGGCCTGAGCACAAGCCTGGGAATTCACCCCTCAGCTGAACAGCTCACTGCAGACTGACGCAGCAGCCCCTCTCCAGCTTTCCCTTGCTCGGGCTCACTGTGGGAGAATTTGGGGAGTTAACCAAAAGAAATCTGCATGATCTGCATTTCTGCCCCCTTTCCCTCACCAGCCACAGTCAGGCTGTGGCAGAGAATTAAATAATGATACAATGTCCATTATGACAGAAATCATGTCCTTTCCAAGTATTTAACCTTAAAAATGTGTGCTGGGTCTAGTTTTAAACAGTTACCTAGGGGATATCTGGGCAGAACAGTGAGCAGGCCTCTGCTGTGAGGAAGCCTGTGTCCCACAGTGAACTACTTTGCCTCATGGGTCCCTTTGGTGACCTTCGTGATGCCACTATTTAGAGGGGAAGGGACACACACTGCTGAGATTTGTGTATATGTGGGAAGCTGTTGTTCTAAGGAGGGACCTCCTCTCTGTCACCATTGCCATTGGAGTCGGGAATCTTCCTGGGATGGTCACCATGTATGATGCCTGGGAGGAACAGGCCATTCAGGCACTGCCACTGAGGGTACAGAGCAGGGTTCAGGATGGGGCCTTGAGGGACGTTTTAGACTGCTGCCACAGGCCAGCCTGCACACGTGGGCCATGTCCTAAGACACCCTCCTAGAACTCACGGTGAAGCCTGCAACCGGGCCTTTCTTACACCAGAAGCTCTGCTTGGAGGGGAAGTGGAAGTAGCCTCCGCTTCTTTCTCCTCCGGCACCCTCTTCATAACCCAGGAGCTGAGGAGAGGCAGCCCTCTCAGGCCTCCTTCCTCAGAAGAAGTGTTTGGTAAACAGCCATCCCTGAACCGTGCCAAAGCGCTCATACTCTGGCCGGCCCCCTGCAGTCCACGGAGACAGTACAGCTCTTAGAAGCCCTCACTTCAGGGCCAGTGCTGCAGGGCCAGAGGCAGAACAGGTAGGCGGTCCTGGGACCAAAACCTGAGAATTAAATGTGGGGCTGCCAGGCCACTCCATGAGGGAGACATTCTAGGAGGTCATGTTTCTGGAAGGGGGAGGCCTTACCTTCAGGGAAACATGAACCCACAGCAGCCAGAAGCAGAGCGTGTCTGGTTTACAGGACAGTCTCTACTGACTGCCAGTGTCTTCTGGTGATCTGAAGCCTGGAAACCAGGCTGGAGCCCCCCAAACTAGGCACCTCTGTGAGATAACAATAACAAGGCTGACCCTTCCTGAGGCCACAAGGACACCTCTCCAAAAAACCTCTTTTCTACCCAGGAAGATATTTTGGTGGAAACCATGCAGGAAGCAACATTTTTAAGGTTAAATATTTGAAAAGGACATGATTTCTGTCACAGTGCACATTATATTATTTTTTTTAATATTTTTAGTTGTAGACCTACACAATAATTTTATGTTAAGTTATTTCTTTTATCTGTGCTGAGGACTGAACCCAGTGCTCACACCTGCTAGGCAAATGCTCTACCACTGAGCCACAACCCCAGCCCCATTGTATCATTATTTAATTCTCTAAATACATGTTTTTTGTTTTTTGTTACTGGGGATTGAACCCAAGAGTACTTAACCACTGAGCCACATCCCCAGCCCTTTGTTATATCTTTATTTAGAGACAGGGTCTTGCCAACTTGCTTAGGGACTTGCTGAGTTGTTGAGGTTGGCTTTGAACTTGTGACTCTCCAGCCTCAGTCTCCCAAGCCTCTGGGATTACAGGCGTGTGTCACCGCACCTGGCTCTAAATACAGGTTTGTGGAAGGCCTACAGCTGCAGATTGAACTCAGGACATGGGGAGTCTTCTAGGGGTGAGGGTGCTCCTCTTGGACTATGCCTGCCCTTCCAGCTGGTGGAAGTTTTCAAAACCAATATGATCCTTTGTCTGTAAAGTCATCCTAGGCTTGAAAGATCCTGGAAGGCAGCCTTCCTCGGCTTTCTGGTTTCCAGGAGGCGTGCACAGGCCAAGGCACACACCTGCTGCAGCCCTGACCCCTGGCCTGAGCCCCTAGCATCAGAGGGTTCAGAGTTCCATGAGCCTACTCAGGTCAGGGTGAACCCTGTTTCTAAACAGTGTGTTCCTCACAGACCATCCTTCCAAGGTTCTTGGATCAGAAGGTCCTTGAGGATTTCTCACATTGGCCCTGGGGGTTGGTTGAGGATCTTCTGGAAGGCAATAGAATAAACTCTCCACTGGCCTGAGACAGAGAATATATTGGAAGGATGCAGAACTGAGGGAAAGTTCAACAATTAAGTTCCAGGCAGGCCAGAGCCAGAGCTCCTGGCACGTGAGCCACCAGAGGCCAGACACCTGTGCTCTAGAGCAGCCTTTGCCCAACATGGGCCTAGTGACACCCAGGCTCCCAGGTTCCCCTTTCCAGGAGCCTCGTATTGACCCTCCTAGTTTGGAGCAAGCACTGTTTCTTGTGCATCTGCTCTTGCCAGGGCTCAGTGTTCAGTAGACCAACCAACATGAGTGATAGCTAATGCAGCTGACCCATACTGACTGCAGGGAGTGCCAGGCAGCAAGCAGTCTGCATGTGGCGGCCCTCTAACCCTCACAGTAGCCCTGCATGTAGATACTGCCGTTTTCCTAGCTTTACAAGTGAAAAAAAGTTTAGCAAACACATCAAGGCAGCCAACTGGCCCAAAGCCCTGTCCAGGCCTCCCAGGGTCTGGCTCTAGAGCTCACCCAAGCTGCACATGCTCCCTCACTTGGTGTAGATAGGGCACAAATGGCTGTTTCCAGAACAAAGGGATCCCTGAGTAACTGGGTTAGGTATGAGCAGAAAAGTCCGTGTTCCCTTACAACCCAGAACCTACATTAGGAGACCATCCTCCATCATAAGCCCATTGCCCCTTTATTGATCTCTGCAGATAGAATTGCTGCATGAATCTCCTGGTCCCTTCAGGACCCCTCCTTTATCCAGGTTTCTCTGCTCTAACAGCTTGACCAACTCTGACTCAGCTCCTGTCTCCTGTTCCCACAATGATGGTAGCAGGCACACACCAGGCTCAGTAACCTTGTCACTTGCAGACTCAGGCTGTAAATCCCTCCGGCTCATTGTTTCCCCCTCAGATGTAATAACCACAAGATGTCCAGGGAGTCGGAATAGGAGCAGAGCGTGATCCAGAGCTGGGCCCAGCAGCAAGCCCAGCCTGCAACCTGCTACAGAGAGGGAAGGGGGTAGACAGTCACCTGGCTGAGGGAAGAAGAGAAGCAAGCCCTCCCGAAGGCCAGCACTCACAGCCTTCTATGTTTAGGACCACAAAAACCCCTTCTTCCCCTGCAATTTTGGGGGGCCTTTGAGGGTCTAACTGGGTTTGGATTGGGCACAGTGTTGGGTCTCAGGACCTGATTCCCAAATGCAGGTCTGTTCTGTGGGGCCAGGCTGGCTCTGGATGGCTGGGAAGTTCAACATGCCAATTCCCAGGCACCCACCCGAGGGACTCTGAAGCAGTGGGTGGGTAGGAGGGGCCCTGGATGCCAATACACAGTTGGATTGGGGGTCTCTATTCAGGACCCACCTCCTTCCACTCTACTGAGGCGGCTCTCCTTTCACTCTGGATCTGTGTTGAGTGGCAGGAGGCTCCTCTCTGCCTTCAGTGTGTGCCCTGTCCCTGGGTTTCCAGTCCCCTTTGCCCTTCTACTGAAGTGAAGCCCTTTGAAGGTACTCTTCTCCTTTCATCAACAGTTGATCCGCATACTTGGTTTGGCCCCAGCTTCAAGCTTCTCTCTTTGACTTTGATTTCGTCACCCAGGGGGTTTGTCACAGAATTGGCCCAATGTAATTCATTCAAATGCCTGATCTTTATTATGTGTGGTTCATTAATATTTAACACCCTCTCTCCCAGGAATGACCAGATTCACCAGTTTTATACCAGTTGCAACAGGATACCTGGTTGAGACAGTAATAGGCCTCTGTTTTGGCGTAAGATGCTCAAGCCCCAACATAAAATTTCCTGGATTCTTGTTGCTATACAGCCTGAGATGGAGAACTGATTTTTTACAGTCTTGCCACTTCTTCCCTCATGGTTCTCTTGAACACCAACTTTGGGCACCTTCCCCAAAATGGGCAGTTTTCATGCTGGGGAGTCAGGTGAAGGAGACAGTGTTTGGGTAGCTGACTGGATCCCCTGTACCAAGGGCCCTTTCCATGTTACCTGTCAATTATTTCATCTTGATGTTCATGCATCTGTGGTAGACAGGGCTTCTCGTTGGTTTCTAGAGACACACTGAGGAGCACGCCAGCAGTGACACTAGATCTACGCTCCACCAGGTCCAGCGAGTGGCAGTCCTTCCCTGTGCTTTACCAAGCCACCTGCTGGGAGCTGGTGTTCACATATTGCTCATCACCAAAACTGACAAAAATGATTTATTTCATGGAAATCTCTTGTACTATTCATTTCATTCTAGTTTTTTTCCTCTAGGGCATGTGGCCCTGTCTTTTGAGACTCAGTTATCTGATTCCTTCTGTCACTTTGTGTCTGTCTCAGCTCCCCACCAGCCCCACAGCACACTGAAGACCTGTCCAGATCTCTGCTTCTCTTTTCTCTTACACCCTTCTTATTCTTTCCAGTGTTACTAGATATTAATTCTGAGTACAGCAAGGTTTGCAGAAAATATAAATCACGGAAATACACTTGTCCTCCATAGAAAGTGAAGGTAGTAAAAGTCATATTCCAAAAAACTTAACAAAGAAAATTGAGTCACTAAGTATAACTCACAGGCATGAAGTGCTCAAACGTAGAACAATGTGAGCCAATCTCTGTCCTTAGACTGAGGATATCATGGGCTTTGCTTGTGCACCTGTCCCAACCAGCAGGGAAGTCATATTGGCCCTTTCCATCTCTATGATCTGTGATGCCTCTCCTTATTCCTGCTGTCACCTCATCCATTCTGGGTGACTAATAGTCACAGTGCCCAGCCCAAGCAGGAGCTCAAACTTACTTGTTGGCTGATTAAGACAGCTGGTCTTTGGAGAGGCTCCTTGGCTCCCTCTGGCTGCCCAGCCAGAACTATCCTACCTAGGTGACAGCCCACCATTCCTAGAGCCCCTGAGCCCCTGGAGTGTGGGAGCGCCTGCCAGCAGTGGCAGCACCTGGAGGCTTGTTAGAATTCAGATTCTCCACCCACCTTAAGTTGTTGGGCCAGAATCAGGATTCCCGGGGTTTGGCGCCCCCTGCTGGCAAGGTAGGATTCCTGCATCTACAGCCCCCTTGTCAGGGGAGGAAACTACTTGTCCATGTTCAACTCCTGGGCTAGTCCCGGAGTGAATTCATCTTATCTTAACCAACGGAGCAAGCCGGAGCCCAGCTGCCACTCCAAAGTCAAGACTGAGTGTGGGGGCTGAGGCTGATTTTTGCACGGCCAGTCTCAGGGACATGTCCTCCTGGGAAGGCCACTGTAACCTGAAGTGGGAGCATCTTCTGGTCAACCAAGGAGCCGACACTGACCTATGACCTGTTCCTCCTCCTTCCACAGTCAACACCAGTCACCACTCGTCCTCCTACAAGTCCAAGTCCTCCAGCAATGTGACCTCTACCAGCGGTCATTCTTCAGGGAGCTCGTCGGGAGCCATCGCCTACCGGCAGCAGCGGCCAGGCCCCCATTTCCAGCAGCAGCAGCCCCTCAATCTCAGTCAGGTAAGCCCCACTCAGGCCCATCGCCTCAGCTCCCCACTCTCCAGCTGCAGAGAGGGTCATGGAGGCAGCCCTCGCCACCTCTTGGGCCTGTGGTTCCCCTAGTGGTGGCAGGAAGTTTCCTGAGTGACCTCAGCGGCTTCTCCTTACTGCAGGGAAGGAAACCTCACACCTATTCCACAGAACAAGGAAAAGAATGGCCTAGGATCTCACGTGTCACGGCGGCTTAGGTTCTCGAGGGGAAAGAGGGCTATTTGGTTGGACTGATAGAATTTCAAACAGAGTTGTCTTAAGAGTCTGAGATTTCACAGTGGGTAAGAAAGTAGTCCCCCTCAAAACAGGGTCTATTGACACCTCACATCCCACTGCCTTTGTCCTGGCTTGCTCTGTGTCATCCCAGCCTGCGCACAGCAGGCCAGATGTCCCTTTCTCAGTCCAAACTTATTTTCACTGTCACCACACAAAGGGAAGCATCTGTTGTCCCTCCTGCCGCCCCTTGTCCTCACCCCCCTCCTCCCCACTGGCCTCCCCCTCCTCCCCTGACACAGCCCCTCTCGCTGCTTCTTCTCAGGCCCAGCAGCACATGGCCGCAGACCGCACCGGGAGCCATCGACGGCAGCAGGCCTACATCGCTCCCACCATGGCTCAGGCTCCGTACACCTTCCCACACAACAGCCCCAGCCACGGCACTGTCCACCCGCACCTGGCTGCCGCTGCCGCCGCCCACCTCCCCACCCAGCCTCACCTCTACACCTACACAGCGCCTGCAGCCCTGGGCTCCACTGGCACCGTGGCCCACCTGGTGGCCTCCCAAGGCTCGGCTCGCCACACCGTGCAGCACACTGCCTACCCGGCCAGCATCGTCCACCAGGTCCCCGTGAGCATGGGCCCCCGGGTCCTGCCCTCGCCCACCATCCACCCAAGTCAGTATCCAGCCCAGTTTGCCCACCAGACCTACATCAGCGCCTCGCCAGCCTCCACCGTCTACACTGGATACCCACTGAGCCCTGCCAAGGTCAACCAGTACCCTTACATATAACCACGGGCCTGGGGAGGGGAGGGAGGGAGGCTGCTCCTGGGACCCTGGGGAGCCGGCTTTTTATACTGAGGTGCCGCACACAAACAATGCAAAAGGGGCAGGGGAGGGGGGCAGGGGACAGGGACGGGACACCAATGAAACTTGAACTAGGAAGTGGGAGGACTTAGAGCAGAGAAGAGAACATTTTAAAAGGAAGGGATTAAGGAGAGGGAAATCTATGCTTTTTATTTTAAAAAAAGAAAAAGAAAAAAAAAGAAAACATCAGTAACAAAAAAAATTTTAAAAAAAATTTAAAAAAAACAGCTCACAAACCCATTCTGCACCAAACTGGAAAGGAGAAGAAGAGAGCCACGAGAAGATTCCAGAAGCGAGGGGCCCCAGTTTTTGAAGAACTTTATCTATGAACTTTTCAAAAGATTATTTTCATATGGCAGCGAATAACATTGAAGAATTTGCTGTCAGGGACACCTGATATGGAAATCCAATAGATTTTTAATTAATTAAACATAAGAATTAGGGATTTTTCCAGAATGCTAAAGGGTCAACACCTCTCCATAGTCAGGCCATGGCCTGAGAGGCTGATTTGGGGGTTGGGGGGCTGGCGAAGCCCAGCCCTGGCTTGTTTATCAGAAATGATGGGCTCGGCCAGGCTGACCAGAAACTCCCTGGGAGGGGGCGGGGTTTTCTCTTCTGAGCACTCTGGATAAATCCCTAAGCAATGTTATTCCTCAGATGTCATTAACGATGTGTGTTACAAACTTGAGATTTTTTTTCCTTTCTGAAGATCTATTTTCCTTTGAGTCCACCCCATCACGTAGCGCAGGCTGGCGCCGTCGAGGTACCCTGGTGGAATGTAGCCCTGCGCCCTTGCTGTGTACCTTGTGTTCAACTCCAGCGATACCAATAGACTATTCCTGTGTAATTGCACAAAACAAAGTGATATAACTTAGGCGTGTAACCAATGCAGTGGTCCCGGTGAGCGAGCGTGTGTGGCCAGCGCGTGGGTATGAGCGCGGAGGCCACCCTCCCTGTGTCCCTCGGCACCGCGTCACAGCCCTCGCAGTCTTGCTTTTGCATCATTCCCTCCTAGTGCCTTACGGAACGACAGACAGACTCGGTGTAGGGAGGCTCCCGCTGGCACCCAGGAAGCCAGCCGGGCTGATCCAGGCCACCTCAGCTCTTCTGTTGCGCTGTTGGAACATTCACTCGAGTCTTTCCTTTTTGGTTCTTTTGTTGTTGTTTTTCCCCATGCCCATTGTCCTTCTTGGGCTGTTTGCTGGCAGGGCTTCAAGGAGAATCCATGGACTTGAGAGTGACGGGGCTCTGTGGTGGGAGGGCACATCTGATGACCCGAATGCTTTGTGTTGAGTTTTACTTTGGGAGCAGACACCCAGAGACTCCCCACCCTTCACCTTCACCCTGCCCAGTTCTGCCCATCAGACCAGCTCTGGCACTGATACCAGGGATTTTAGGAATGTCCGCTTTGCAGAGCAGCAGCCTCCAGGCCCACCACCACCTTCCTACGACCGTCTGCAGGGACTCAAGGAGGCAACACACACCCCAGCTGCACCCCGGTCCCTCCATCCCACAGGAAGCCTGGCATTCGCCACCCCGCCCCACGCTTCCCTCTCCGCCAGCTCCCTGGGCGCTGTTTTGCTCTGCCCATTTGGCCAGATCCCCAGCTCTATAGACAACCACCAACCCGTTTGTTGTTGAATTCTTTCCTTGGATTACCCAGGTCTGCTCAAGACATGATTTTGGTCTTGGCATTTGAGGAGTCTGGTGGGCAGAGGTTGGAGGGATGCTGATGAGGGTGACCAGGGGTCCTATGCTGCACTTGAGAAAACACTCTCACAGATGATTAAGTCTCCAAAGAAATCTGGCCTGCACCCTCTGTGTACATTGGCTCCATCCTGGAAGTTTTCTCAGGCTTTGGATACGGCAGGTAGGGATGGGAAGGGAGTCCTCTCTGCTCTTAGGGAGCAACTCAAGCAGGCAGACACTCAGAAGCCCTCTGGTCAAGAACGGGGCTTGACGGGTGGCTCCGATTGTTTGATCCTGACGCAGAGTCCTTACCTGACACCTCAGCCAAGTTCCAGGTGCAAAGAGATCTTCTGGGTCAGAGCCTCGGCCTTCTCCTTGCCTTTGCTGCCTCACTCTGCAGGCCCTAGCGATCTACTGTGAAAGGGGTTTTCGTAGTGATATCCGCCCTCACTCAGTAATGAAGTCGGTACTTAGCTCTTAGCTGTGAAGGAACTCCGGAAACTTCCCCTCCCCGAACATAAATTCTTACCAAGAAATAGGTCCCCGGACTGGAGAGGATGAAGTGCCGGCCTTGGGCCCGAAGGAAGGACACAGCACCTGTGCAAGGCCAGGCACACTCAGTGGTGCCACAAGGACCCGCCTGAGGCAGGGCTGCAGTGGATCTGCAGGAGATGCTCCCTGGGGCCCAGATCAGTGTGGCCTCAGCTGGAGGTGGGGAGGCGCCTGTCCTGAGACAGCAGGAAGAGGCCAGCTGGGAGCGCGAGGGCGCAGGCCTTCAGAGGACGCCAGAGCTGGAGCCGCACCACCCTGGAAAACCTTTCTGTTTGGACTTTCAGCAGCCAAATGGCCACACAGTCCCACCAGATCCTCTCCTACAGTTTCAAGGCGTCTAGTCTTGGATGAAAATGAGCCTCAGTCTGCCTGTCTGAGCAGCGCTCTGGACTCCCCGCACAGTGCAGTTCCAGCCCTTTCTAGATCTCATCTTTTAGGGGAAAGACGACTTCCAGTGTTCTTTCCATTTCCTTTTGTCTGCTTAAATTGAAGCTTCTCACTCTTTCACCTGATGTTTTCTTTCCTTTTCTCCTTCCAGATCAGGAATGAAAGTTTCATGCTGCTCATGAAGTCGATATTATTGTGCTGATTATTTTTGTTATTGCCATTGTAATTATGTTCATTATCATCGTATTGCTGTTTTAGTCAGGGTTTTAAATGCACATTTATTCCAAGTTTCTTTGTGTTTTCTCTTTAATATTTAAATTTACTATATCTGTGAGTATAGGAGAAGACTGGAGGGACATACAGATGTCCGATTTTGTCAGACAAAAAAAAAAAAGAAAAGCCCTGGGAATTAGGAAGATTGTTTCTTTCATTTCTTCCACAAAGAGCCACTGAGGAAGACCTACCACAGAGCAAAGTGGGAAGAGTCAAGGCCTTTTCCTCTGCAAAACCCAGCTGAGGCCCTGGACAGCATGATCGCCATTGGTGTATTTTTCTAATTTCCAGTAGTCTGGGAGGCCACCTGAGGAGGCAGCTTCTGGGCTCAGGGACGCCGGGTGCACTGACCCTGGAACCCTTAGCTTCTCCCCCCACTTTCTATGCTCTCCTGTTCATCCCCAATGTGCTAACTACACTCTTAGCCTGCCTCATATCTGTTATTTAAGCAAAAAAGCTCCTCTTCCCAGAGCTCACCCAGCCCCTTTCCAAAACATTCACCCTACCCATCAGCCCCCCCAAAGCGTGGCTTGCATCCTTCAGTGCAGAGGCAGTTCCCCCTCCCCCCCCCCAGCCTCTGTCTTACTTTCCCTCAATTACCACCTCCCCCACTTCTTCGGTCTTCCCCTTCCGCCTGGATACATCCTCCCAGCACACAGTTCTCTCAAGCCAAATAAAGGTGGCAGAATGAGGAAGAAGCCAGAGAACCCCGAGTGAAGCCACCCAGACATTGCCACGTGTCCCCCACAATATTCTTTACAAGTGGGGGAGCACGGCAGGACCTCGCAGCCTTTCCTGGGCTCTTCCTGTGCCCTCAGTGTCCTGGGCTGTGAGTGATGGGTGCCCACACACTGCCCACCAAGCCCAGGAACTGCTAAAGCTAAAGTGGCCAGTTTCCCTGAAGGGAAGTAAGCTGTTGGGCAGTGGACAGCCCCTCTGGCACTCAGCAGATATTCATGTCCACCTAGTCCTCACCCAGCATCCTTTGTCTCAAGCACAAAGCTGTTGCACTGGAAGCCACACAAGGAGACCCCAGCGTGACCATTAGCTTCCGTGCCCAAACCCCCCACCCCTGGTACTCCAGCACTAAGCCCCCTTGGCAGAGAGTCTCATAAAAGGGTGCCATCCCTGGGACCAAGCTTTCAAGTGGGGAGATGTTCTTGTCCTCAGGTAGACCACAAATCCCCTATGGCCTCACCAAGCCTTGGATTGGCTCCATCCTTCCTCAGTGAAGAAACTCAGCTCAGAGTGAAGGGAGGATCGAGAAGGACAGGTCACAGAGAAGCGTTTCATTGGAACCTCATGAACCTCAGGTCAGTGTGCTCCCCCAGGGTTCTCACCCATCCAGGTGGTGGCACCCATGTCCCTGTGCTTAGTGCCTCTGGTGATATTTGGGATGTTCCCAAGAGAAAGGGTGAGCAGGCCAATGGTGTGCAAGTCCAGTGGATGTCAGTTTGGACTGCGAGGCGGAGCAGGTGGTCAGGGTGACTCAGAGGAAGCAGGGTGAAGCGCGGTGCCATTGTCTCCTGGACGGTGGCATTTCTCACCCTCCTGGTAGCTGATTGTTGTGGGCTTGGAAGCCAGCTGGGCTTTGTCCTCTTCAGCTGGGGGACTCACACCTGCCCAGACGCCATGGTTCCAGATGGAAGGTCAGGGAGGGGAGATCAGCACAAGTGACAGAATAACTTCCCTGGACTAGATCCTAGGAGTTGCAGACACTCCCAAGCTTCGAACAAGCTTGTGGTGGAGGGTTTGGGTCGTGTGCGTGCGTGCATGTGAGTGAGCGGAGCAGACATTATTGGAAACTGGAGCAAGGAGATGAGGAGGCTTAAGGAAGTATTACTGAAGGTTCATGGTCCGGAGAACACGTGGGTCCCCGCCCCTCCCCAGCTCTCCCGCCAGCTTCTCATTGACTGAGGGCAGGGTGGCACGCGTAGGGCATTTGCTCCTGCTGGCCTGCCAAGCAGCTGAAGGACAGAAATCGGAAAGAAGAAAATAGCTCAGTGTCCTCAACCAGCAGAGAGAACTCAACCGAGAGGCGAGGGTTCCTTCCGCAGGCCCAGCCTGGCAGGAGCCGCTCTTTCAACACATTCCAGTCCAGGGACTTGCAGGCTCCCTTCCCCCTTTGTGTCTTTTCTTTCTGATATTTTACAGATCCCCAAAGGGGAAGCCTCAAAATTGAGCAGGCCAAATTGTCCTTACCAAATTGGAAAGGAAGGTGAAGCCGTCCTTTCCACTGCCAAAGAACCCTTCTCAAAGGCACCTCCAGAGATGGACACAGTGGCGTTCCTCTCTTTCCTTTCTGGGCAATAATGCCATCAGTAGTGAAGCACTTCTGTTCGTAAACTGTTTTTCTCTTTATCCTGACTTCTTTGTTTTAATTGCATTTATTTCAAAACTGCACTCATCTTTGAAAAACAGGAGTAGAGTAGTGACCCTCCACATTGCTGCTACTGGGAAACCGGAGCTCTTGCATCGACCTGGGCACCGAGCACGGAGCTGCTGGGCAGTTCTGCGGCCTCGAGGCTTAGGGCGTGCTGGACTCCACTGGGCTGGGCCGCTCCTTCCCACTCCCCTGCCTCAGGACTCACTCCTTATCTCAACAGACAGTCAAATCTCAGCAGGTCACTAGAGAAGAGAAGATGGCTCAGTGGAATTTATATGCAAAAGAAATTGCTTCAAGGCTTTTGGCCCTGCTGCTCAGTGTAATGACCCAATCAAGTAGAGGTTTCTGGTGTTAGGGCAGCTTTCAGAAGTTCAAGAGAGAGAGCTAGCTCCATGCTGGTCTTCCCTTCAGACTCGAGAGAGTTTACAAGAGACGTGGCCCCTGCCGCAGACCCCAGCACAGAGGGGGCTTCCTGATGCCTTTACGAGTTCCTCCTCTCAGACCCACAGCCTCAGTGTCCAGACTAGCAATATCCCTCACAGGAGGACTGGCGAGCATCAGGTTGTGGAGCCATCACAGCCATCCCCTTGAGAAAAGGGTAGTTTCCCCCTCCCCGCCCACTGACAGATGAGGAAGCTGACACTCTGAGAAAGTGGCACGTGTTAAAGAAAGAAAGCAATGGTGGTCCAGAATCCCCAAGTTTCTAGTCTATTAATTGTTAGTGGGCTCTTCGAGATGTGATTTTGTTTCATCTTTTTCATGAACAGCAATTGTATGGCCTCATATTTCTGATGTACCTTTTAATGATATGCCCATTTCCTTCGTGCCAAACACTGTGCTAGGAATTGCCCGATGGTCTTATTTCATTTCACACTAACCCTACGAGATTGGCAATATCCGTCCCTTTACAGAGGACGTGTTGGGCTTGCAGAACTCTTAACCTTCCTGGGACCACCCAGCTGGTGAGAGGGAAGCCAGGGTCTGCCTGGTTCCAGAACTGAGCTCTGCCACCAGACCCAGCTGTCTCCTATGTGTATGTTGCAAAGAGAGTCCTTGAGGAAATGTCACCCTGTGCCCTGCCTGCTCTGTGGAGCTGAGCAGGTGAAAAGAGGGCGTCCCGAACTGGATGCAGGCAGAGGGGCAGAATAACTTTGACTTTTTAGAAAAATCTCTGGGGAGTTTCTTTTGATTCCTAGAATTCCTTTTAGATTTCTTTCCAGTGTACCAACTAGCTTTAGTAATGCTGCTAACTCTTATGAGAGTGAAGGGGGAAAAAAAGTGTTCTTTTCTTCTTTAAAAAAAAATAATTTTTCTTGCTTATAGTTAATTCTAGAAAGGCAATACTAAAGGTATATATTTTTTTCAAATGCTATTTTTTACTGCACTTAATAAATATCATGACAGCTCTGATCTCTGTAACAGATCCACTCTTCAGCTCTGGGCAGAACCAGATGCAGGGTTCACACCAAATTTGTAAATACCATGTGTGGGTCTGGTATCCAGGAACTTTTTTTTTTCTGTAAAAAAAGAAAAAAGAAAAAAAAAAAGGAAGAAAGACAAGATGACTTCTAGAAAGAGGAACAAATTTTCTTCCAAGAGAGACACCCCTCTCAAAGAAATAGAAAACAACAGTATGTAAACTGAGAAAAGTGAGACAACTTTCAGGAATTAAAGAAGCATCTCTGGCCCCAGTGTGAGATTGACAGTAATACAGATCCATTTCCACTTTGGTTGAAAGGTGGAAAGAATTCGATATGATTTGGGACTAGATTTTTAATTTTCCAACAAACCGTCATCACATGCTATGAAGTGTCTGCTCAGCTGTTTGGGGGTGGGTTTCTCATTTCTCGTTTCCTTTAGAAACTTCTTGGTTGACTGGCTCCAGGCTTGTTTGCCTAAATTCTTAGGTAGTTTACACAAGTTCTAGAATCTTTTTAGAACTTTAACTCCATTGGAAACAAACCCAACTGGTCAGAATGGGAATTCCTGGTTGTGTCAACAGGTATTCTGGAATTCTGACAGAACACCTAAAGATTCTTTTAGAAGATTCTAGATACATTATCTTACACAAACTGTGACCTAACGGCAATAATTACCTCAAACGTGGGCATTCATCCTGGGTTTAGCCTTTTTTGAAATCATGTAGCCAGCTTGATCTTGGGATTTAAAAAGCTATGAATTCTGGGTGGGCTGAAAATAATGATTAGCACACAGTCCCTGGTCATCGTTGCTTAAGTGAATTCTGAAAATAGTTACAACAAGAATGAAACCAAGGAAGAGATCATTCTTTGTGTTATAATCAAATATGATGTTCAAACGCACATGGAGCATGTATGTTTTTAGCTACTGTAAAATGCTGTTAGCTTTCTGGGATATCAAGAGAATCTCATTTATATGAGTAAACTGAATAATTGACTGTGGATACTTAAGCATATCTCTGGCTACATTTTATAGTTAAAGTGTTTTATAGTTTACATTTAAACTGGTACTTTTTAAAGACAATTTCTGTTTCTAACTGACTTCTTCAAACCCCCTCGATGGTTTGCCTCCTTGGGTTGGAGGCCATGTCTCCAAAGGCAGGTGTTTTGCCCGTTCTGTTCTGTCCCCCAGTACGTGCGTTTTCCTCCATATTGTTGGTTTCCAAGTGAACTTGAGAGAATGTGAAAGGAAGTCCAGCTGGAGTGGGAGGGGCGTGTCCTGACCTGGGCAGATGCAGTCTCTCGCCTTGTTGGGCCAGCATTTGTCTTCAAGGCCTTGTCCTTGACACCTTGGAGGAGGCAGTGAGAACTGATTCCTGGTTCCTTGATTTTTGTCTTGACTGAATATTTAACTTATTATAGATCCACTCACTTCTACTCACTAGGCAGTAGAAGACACTGGGATTTAGGTGGCCCTGAGGGTACCACTATTCACTCTGGGGCCCTGCTGGTATCCCTGTCAGTGTTTTGCAAGGGAGAACCGTGTGTCCCTGTGGCCCTGTTCTCTGGCTGGGACTTCCATACAACTGCTGTCTTTTACTCATTTTCTCTTTTAAAACAAAATCCCTGTAAAAAGGACAGGTGTACATGTTGCCTAATGTCAAGCTGAGATGTGAAGCTGGGCCTGGTGGGAGGGACTTGGGGTTCCACTCAGAGACTGCACGCACTGCTCAGCCAAAGGAGCTGGGATCGAGGGGCAGCCCAGGGCCTTCCCCTGACACCCAGTCTGTAGGGAGGGGATGTGGAAGGTCATGAGAGAGGCTTCAGACACAGAGCAGGCCCCACAGTCAGGCAGGAGCAGCCTGGGGAGCTGCCAGTTCTGCTGAGAGCCTAGTTTGGTTTTCATTGTGCCACCACCAAACTGTGGAGGACCCATTGTGACCCTTCCTCCAGCAGCAGAGACCTTGAAAACTGCGGAGTACCTGGGACCAGGGAACTCTTCACACCACGCGTTGGCTTTTCCAGGTGAGCCTCGCTGACAGGCTGTGTTCCTGTGGCTTTGTTAGATCGTCAGTGGAGGATGTTCTCATCTCACTCCTCTCAGCCTTCCTCCCACGGTCCTGTGGGTGCCTGTTCCTTTGCACTAACTGGCCACATGAATTTTGTGTTATTGTCTTTGGGGCTTACCCTCATTTTTTAAAACTAGAGATATAGAAATTCACTTTTCCTTTTTTTATTTTTTTAATTTGAAAAGTGCATTGTATCTGAAAAAGGGCTCAGCCATTGCTCTCTCTAGTTTCCTTTCACCCAGTTTCCAAACAAACCTCTCCTGGCGCCTCCCTCCCCCTGCTTCCTTGTTTTGGGTCACTGTCCCTTGTGGCCACCTCTGCCTCTGCCCTGCTGTCACTACAACCCTGTGCCCCGCCACCCAGGACTCCAGAAGTCAAGAGTCAGCAAGAAGGGCCCGCTTGGCCTCAAGAGCGGTCCTGCCTCCCTCCGCTGCTTGCCGCTGAGGGCAGAGGACTTACTCTTGCTGTTTCGGGAGGCGGGCTCAGGTTAGAAGGAAGAACTTGGGACGTGGAAAGGGATTAGACTGTGCCATCTTCTGTAGTTTTGGAGCATAAAGCATCCCCCCCACCGACCCTACCCTTCAAAGCAGATGTCCCCATTTGCTCTGCCTTCAGATCTGTGGGCTTCCCACCCTCCACAGTCCCTCACTTCGGTGTCACTACTCTTAAAAGCTTTCTTTCTCCCATGGGTCTCCCAGGGCACAGTCCTCTCTGGGACCCACAGCATCTCTTCACCTCTGCGTGTGCATTTTTTTAACCAAATGAAGTGGACAAGAAAGGCATCCCTGGGGCAGCAGAACTAGTTGAGTAGGAGCCCTGTGTAGATAGAGACGTTGATCTGTATGTTTGTGTATATATATCAAACCAAACTCCTGACAGGGAAAGTACAGCTTTACAGAAGAGGAGAGAGGGGCTTGAGAGGTTGGATGGGGCAGCCATGGAGTGTCCAAGGAGCGCACAGTGTCCCTGCTCCTGCACGGCCCTATTCTCCACCTCGCCACAGTGGGGCCAGGGACCCCAAGGGTGCTGGTGCTCTCTCAGGGTCCCCAGCATCAAGGGCATAAACGGGTGAGGGGGCATCCGATCAGAAGGACTGGAATTTTCCATCCCGTTTTGCTTTGACCACATGTATTGAGCTGCAGCCTGATATTATATCATGTTTCCAAAAACGGTATCCATTAAGATGGAAGAGAAGAGATCCCTAGAAATGTTTACCTTTCCACCGCCCATGACTTCAGGACACTGGATAGAAAGACACACTCCCCAGATAACAGGGAAGAGGAGACCTGGTGACACGCAGTCCCCAGTCCAAGGAACGTGGCTCCCTCCCCAAGGTCATCTCACCTAGACCATTCTCTACCAGGTCATCTCAGCTCAATCTCAATAACCCCATAAACCCTGGTCCGTTGTGTTCCTTCACTGTACGGTTTCTGTAATAAAAAGTGTTAATCCACGTTAATCTGTGTGAAAATTATTGCGTGCAACGGTATTTTCTCGTGTACCTCTTTTCCTCTGTGAATTGTCCCTCTTTTCTTTTTTATTTATAAACGTCTACTTTTTTTTTTTTTAAAGACAACCCAATGTGTTGTAGACCTATATGTAACCTATTCCTTAGTCTCATATTATAGGTATGTTATAAGAATGGATATTTTACTTGGCTTTAGAATGTTTTACAAGAAAACTAATTCTTAACTGATCGAGTCCTTGCTACTAAAATGCTTGTGTTTTTCATCATGATGTCGTGTGCTTCTAAATTAATAATCATTTTCGTTGTAGAAAAATGGAGTGAATTTATATTAGTCTTGGAAACTAATAATAGCATTGTAAATTTATGAGATGATTTTAACAGAAAAAAATTATAGAAGAATATAGTTATTTTAATTGTAATATTACTAACTGTAGGGTGAGAAGGGGGGGTCCCGTTGTGGTGAACTATGTTATAGCTTGTTACTCACAGTTTCTTTTTTGATCATTTTTTCGGTCTCTGAAGTGAAACGAGTTATTAATTAAAATTTGTAAACTCACATATGCATATTGTATATGTGTAGAAATGTAATCACACTTTGTCTTGGAATTACATTAAACTGTTTGGAATCACTGTACACTCGCCTGGCGCGCTTATTTATCCACACCAGCTACAGTCCAAAAAAGTTGTTGCAAGTAACATCTTTCTGAAGTTATTTAGCCCTTTAGAAATTATTAAATACCTCTGAAAATGTCCAGAGCCCAGCACCGCCTCCCAACTTTACAGAGATGACGGTGTGACTGGAGAGAGGGGCCTCCAGGTCATTGTCCTACCAAGGCCTGTGTGGCAGAGTGAGAGTGGCTTAGCTCCCCATTGCCTCCTGGGTGCCGTCCAGCCCCATCTGCGCCCGCACTCCATCCCTGAGGCCCAGGGCTGTCCTGCTCAGCTTGCCGGCTTTCCTCCCAGATCTGGGAGCTGCGTCCCTGCCCCGCCTTCTCCACACTGGGCCTCGGTGTCAGTAGCGTGAGCAGGGCCCTGCAGTCCCCAGTGGAGCTGGGTGCCCCACAGCCCCTCCAGGCCTACCCCTACTGCTGCAGCTCAGGAGGCCAGGGAGGCCCATGAGGTCAGCCTCCTAACCACGGCTCCATCCTCCCGGTAATCTTTTTTCAGTTTTAATTTTGACATAATGCACCTAACATAAAATTTATCATTTTGGACATTTTTACGTGTACAGTTAGAGGCATTGACTACATTCCCACTGTTGTCCCATTGTGGCCACTATCCAACCCCAGAACTTGATCTCATCATCCCAAACAGAGGCTCTGTACCCATTAAACGTAAGTCCCCAGCCCCTCCCCCAACCCTGGCACCACCCTTCTACCCTGAGTCCCAGTAAGTTTGCCTATTCCAGATGTTCCATATACGTGGGATCCTGTGATCTTTGTCCTTTCGAGTCTTGTTTATGTAACTCAGCACAATGGTGTTAAGGTTCATTCCTGTTACAGCGTGTATCGGAATTTCCTTCCTTTTTTAAGACCTCAAATAATAATGATCCTTCATTGTGTGAACGACTACATTTTGCTTGTCAGTCTGCTGATAAGCACTTGGTTTGCTTTCAAACCAAGTAAATGATGCGGTCCTTGGTGGACAAGCACTTTCACATTTCTGCTTTTTGCTTTTGGATGCACACACAGAATGCAGTCACTGGGTCACATGGTGATCCTGAGTGAACCTCTGGAGGAACCGTCACACTGTTCTCGACCGTGGCTGTGCTTTCTCACACTTCCACCAGCCACACGCAGGGTTCCAGTTTCTCACCCCGCCCCAACTCTGGTCCTGGCTTCCATTTCCGGGGAAATTGCACCTTTAGGCTCCTTTGCTTAACTCCTTAGTCCCCAACTCTGCCCATCCTCCCACCGGGACCCTCTTGCTTCAGCCCCGCTCACCTCCGTGGATCCACTCAGCCATCTACCTTCCCTGCTCCCGAGAGCTGCTGAACAGACACCAGCCTGCACACCCGTGGCCTGCAGCCTCCCAGGCCTTCCATGCCATCAGCTCCTTGGCTACCCAGAAGCCAGCATCTCCAGGACCTCTGCTGGCTCTGCCACACCTGCTCCCCTCCAGGGTAAGCTGGAGCACGCCCAGCCCTCCTGCCCCTAGTGGATGGGCAGCCTCCGCATCTTTCCCCTTGAGTTTCTGGGGCAGAAGGACCCTGGGTTCCACTGCATCTTTCGCTCACTCCCCAGATCTCATTCTCCTTCAAGCATCCCCTCCCTCTCCTGGAGCTCCACGTGTCTCCGTAATGTCCTCGAGAAGCAGCCCAAGTCGTCTCAGGGAAGCTTGCACTAGAGCGCTCGGCGGCAGCAGTGCTGCTCCTCTGGATTCCCCAACCCTGTGCGTAGTTGATATTTTCTGTCCCCACAAAACCACAAGAGCCTTGCAGGTCAGGGTTTGTCTTTCATCACGGTTTCCAGGCACCTGTTACAATGCCAAGCACAGAGTGGGTGGCCAATAGAATTTGGATGAATGAGCAAACTGCGCAGCCTGCCCTCATTCCCCACCGACCCACCTTTCCACTCTGAAATTTCAGTGTCTCCCAGGATCCCAGCAAGACCACCCAACCCAACCCGAAGTATGACCAATACGGATTAATTCAAATTATGTAAAAACTCACAGGAAGATCTCAACAGAACTTCAGAACTCTTCTACCCAACATTTTAATTAAATGCATAGCCGGGGATCCTGTCTATGGGAGCGGGGAGGGAAACCAACCCTGTAGGCCAGAAGGGATGAGAACATGTCAAAGGGTCAGTTATAGCGGTGAATAAGCAGCTCGCCACCAGTGTCCCTGGGAGGTGATTTAGATCCAAAGTGAAAAGACAGCTTACTGCTTCAAGTATTTTCCTGAAACCTGCTCAATATCGGGGTAATAAAAATGGTGAGGGGCTCACTTGGACCATGATGAGCAGGAAGCAGAACTTCAATTTCCATAACAGGCTCATTTCCCAGTTGAGCCCAGGAGACCCAGAGAAAGGCCAGCCCAACAGTTAAATGGAATGGACTCTCACTTAGAGTACGGGGGTGGGGGGTGGGGGGGGTTGTCTTTGGCTTCAGAGGGAGACGCTCCTGCATCGCAAGCCCCCTGGCTTTTAGGGCAGGTTGCTGGGTGGCAAAGCTTGAGTCCTAGTCTGTTCCAAACAGCCAGGTGTGAGGAGTATTTTTTGGGGGGTGAGTCAGGCTTATACATTGTTTCCTAACCCTATACCAGAAGAGAAGAGCTTAAGCAAATATTAAATACTATAAAGCAGACCAACGTGGACATGTAAGGAAGGCTTTGGCCTCTCAGAATCTCTCAACTTCCATTTCCGGCTCTTCCCTTTCGCCAGTTGTCAGAGAAGGAGCCTCAGGTCTTATTCTCACCCTCCTCTCACACTTTACAGCCAACATGGGTCCTGCTGCAAGTATTTTCCTCCTAGGAAACTTGCATCCTCTGCAATGTTAGGGCTTGGATAGGGGAACAAGAAGATGGTGCTTGGCAATGCAGGAATGTTCAGAGATGAAATAATCTGATTATGAGAGCTGTAACCTAAACTGCCGCAGTCCGGCTGCAGCATAATAACCGGGGGGGTGACGAATAACTTCTGTACGTTGATGCAGCAGGAATGGAAGCCGTTTATTGTAGGACAACAGAGCTATTTATACATTTTGCACAGCTTATCTTAATTAGCATAAACTAGATACATCAGTCAACCAATAAGGAATCTCCACACTTAATGGCTTACTTTTGTTACTTCTCAAACCACTCCCTCTGGCATTTTGCCAGGCACCATCCAGACTTGTTTACGAACTTCTAACATTCCCCTGGCAAAATACTACGTGTTATTTTGACTTGTCTACAGACCTTAACACTAAACAGTGGATTAATCTGTTTGATGGGTTGATAGTTTGCATGGACTACTGGGTGGTAACTGTAGGCAGGTGGGCATGGCTGGAGGAAGTAGGTCATTAGGGATGAGCCCTGGGGGATGCTGTCTTTTTCCCCCCCACATGATTTTATGGATGCATTATAGTTGCACATAATGATGGGATTTGTTGTTCCATATTCACACATGAATATAATATAACAGTATAATTTAGTCAATATCACTCCCCAGCACATCCCCCCTCCCTCCCTGCCTCTCACTCCCTGGTCCCTCTCCTCTAACGATCTCCCTTTGATTTTCCTGAGATCCCCCTCCCCTTCTTTTCCTGTTTCCTCTCTAGTTTCTGCCTATGAGAGAACACATGTGACCCCTGAGCTTCTGAGTTTGACTTATTTGGCTCAACATGATGGCCTTTAGTTCTATCCATTTTCCCACAAACGGCATAATTTCATTTTCTCATGGCTGAATAAAACTGCATTGTGTGTATGAGCTCACAGTCCTCCGAGACTGAGCCCCAAATAAACCTTTCCTCCCCTAAGTTGATATTGTCTGGTATTTTGGTCACAGTGACACAAGATGTCCTTTATACTGTACATTTTCTTTGTCTGTTCATCAGTTGATGGACACCTAGGCTGGTTCCATAGTTTAGCTTTGTGAATTGCGCTACTATGAACATGGGCATACGCGTATCGCTGTAGCAAGACGACTTTAATTCTTCAGGACACATACCAAGAAGTGGTATATCTGGGTCACATGCTGGTTCCAGGCCTAGTCTTTTAGGGGAGCTCCATAGTGATTTCCACAGTGATCGTACTAATTTACAATCCCACCAACAGTGTCAACAGTGTTCCTCTTGCTCCACGTTTTCTCCAACATTTATTATTATGTGTATTCTTGATGACTGCCGTTCTGACTGGTGTGAGATGAAATCTTAGTGAAGTTTTGATTTGCATTTCCCTAATTGCTGATGATATTGAACATTTTTTAAATATATTTATTGGCCATTTGCATTTCTTCTTTTGAGAAGTGTCTGATTCATTTGCTCATTATTAATTGGGTGGGGAGGATAGCTTGTCCCTAGCTCTTTTCTCTCCCCGCCCCCACCCCTACGTCCTGGCTGCCATGAGCTGAGCAGCTCCCCTCTGCCCTGCCCTTCTGCTGATATTCCGCCTCTCGCTGGGCCCACAGCAACAGAGTCTGCCACCCAGGGACTGAACCTCCAAGACTGTGAGCCCAAAATAACCTTTCCTCCCCTAAGTTGATATTGTCTGGTATTTTGGTCACAGTGACACATGGTGTCCTTTATACTGTCTGACACTACTTGAGGATGAAAAGATTCCACTGACCAGCAACAATCCTTATCCTCACTCTGTAAGGAAGAGATGGATAGTGGCAGCCCTGCCTCTCCCAGGATCAGGAGGCCATCCCATGCTGTTTCTTTCTTTCTTTTCCTTCTTCTTCTTCTTCTTCTTTTTTGGTGGGGGGAGTTGTTTGTTTCACAATACGCTTTTTTTAAATAATTTTTTTTAGTTGTAGTTGACACAATACCTTTATTTATTTGTATGTGGTGCTGAGGTTCGAACCCAGGGCCTCACACATGCTAGGCAAGCGCTCTACCACTGAGCCACAACCCAGCCCTCATGCCATTTCTTAAATGCCTTCACATGAATTCTTCTATTGATGGCATACAGTCCCTTCTATCAAGACCCTTCACATCTGACCCCACTTCTAACACAATGCTAGACTATGGTGCCCTTGTAAAGAAACCACTTCATTTACTTCCACGTGTTCTAATGTTCCGTTTCAGCGCTGTCCTAAGCTCTTGCTGTGGCCCTCAGGCTCTATCCATGGGCAGACTAGTCCACAGACTAGGGCTGCTTGTAAGAGAACTGATCAACCACTGACAGAGAGAAGGTCACAACAGATGGGAAACAGTGCATGGATTGTCACGAGTGAGGTATGAAAGAAGATGACCTGGGTGGCCTGGTGATTCAGAACACAGCTTTGGGGTCAGCTGTATTTGAATTCATTTCCTGGCTCTGTTGCTTATTAATGGGAAATTGCTAACCCTCCCAGACCTCAGCTATCTTACCTATAAAATGGGAATAATAGGGCATGTAGTGAGACTGGCTAAATATTTCCCAAACTCAAACCTGTCACCTCTCCTTCCTTTGCACACAGATATATATATATATATATATATATATCCTAGCTTTCTTTGCAAATAAATATGGCAGGGCCGGCCCCTAAAAAACTCATGAACAATTATCCTTACTCTCTTCCCTCAATTTTTGGTCAGATGTGGAAGATCTAGGAAAGAATTCTGAGACCCCCCCAAAGAATGGTTGGGCCATGGGACAGAAGAAGCCTAGGTCCCCAAATGACTTTATGCCCCACAAAAACCACAGTGCACAAAACCAGAAAGAGTAAGAATATAACCTTTTTATTATGTTTAAGCTGCTGAATTTTTAGGCTTGTTTATTATGGCAATTAGACTACCCTAATATGGAAATTGCTTCCCGAAAGTGAAGTACTTCTATAGCAAACGTCTAAAATAAACTACATGGCATAGCTTAGCAGTTGAACAGAAAATTATTTAGAAAGAAACTGGTTTCAGGGGCTGGGAAGATGATGGCCCATGTCAGGCTTTGGTGAAACCTGGGATAAACATGGAAAAGCTAGAAAGCAGACCCTGTCACTCTGAGAAGCTGTTAGGGAAAGAATGCAGCCTTGGGCTGGGGATGTGGCTCAAGCGGTAGCGCGCTCGCCTGGCATGCGTGCAGCCCGGGGTTCGATCCTCAGCACCACATACCAACAAAGATGTTGAGTCCACCGAAAACTAAAAAGTAAATATTAAAAATTATCTCTCTCTCTCTCTCTCTCTCTCTCTCTCTCTTAAAAAAATGGGTGGGCGATGCCACTCCTGCAGCAGGACCTCACAAGAAAGAGGTGAACTTCAGAAAGAATGAGTCCTTTGTGGTCAGAATAAAAGAAAATGGAATTCAAAATGTAGGAGGCTGAAAAGGCAAAGTACAACCAGTTTAAAATAAAACTGACCAAGTGGCTTAAGCAAGAAAACTCAGTTGAACAAATTAGTTTGGCCGTAGCAGAGATGAGACTGGGGACGTGGCTGCCTTCACACAGTCTCTGAGACCTTCAAGACAATTGCCATCAGCTGAGAGGAAGACCCAAGGTCAGGAAAAATAGCAATTAGGCAACCTTGAGAATTTGGTCTAGAAAATAACTTTAGAGTGCAAGTGGATCTGAACCATTTTACACTTTTGAGGAAATTGTATTGCCATAGTATTGTGTTGCAAATTGCAACTTGTATTGCAAACTAGTACCATAATTATATTTGTAATAATTATACAAACTAGTATAACAATCCTCTTCTGTTCCAAAAGCCATCACACAAATCTCAGACAGGTAGTAGTCTATAACAACACGACTGACAAAAGGCAGCCACCACTGGCCAAGAGGCTAAAAGAACAGGGAAGAACTTCTCTGAGGGTGGCCGAAGCCAGAGGGTATAGTAAAAGGAGGAGCCATGGAATTCCTCCCCCAACCAAGAGAGGTGAGCACAGACTCTCAGGAAGTTTCTCCACCCACCTCTCCATGTCAGGGGACTTCCTTCACTCCAGCCCCCGGGAGGACTCCAGGATCGCTATAAGGCAGTGGCTTCTAAACGGGAGTCACTTTTGCAATTGTCCTGCCCTGGTCTGGGGATAGAGGTGGGAAGGTAGACAGGAAATTTGTTTTAAACGTTCAAAAGAGAGTTTAGAAGGTTTCTGATTCTGGCGACGGCTATTGCTAGAGAAGGTGTCCCCAGGAAGCTGGAGCTGGGCGTGGCAGAGAACCGGAGTCATTCTTCACATCCCCAACTCCTGTGGCCATTCATGAGGATAAAGGCGGCAGGAAGAGCATTGCCTGTGGGCACTCGGTGTCCTTTCCCAGGCGGCCCCTGCTCAGTCCCCTCCCCCTCCTCCCCCTCAGAGCTGCCCATGGGCAGGGAGCATGCCTGCTACACCTTAGCTTCCCACGGACCCTGTGGGGATGGGGTTGGGTTCAAGTCCTGGCTGCAGCCCCTAAACCCTCTGGTCTTTTCCTCAGGGGTTAGAATAGCTGCTGACGCTGACCTGGAGGGTTCTGAAGACGACTCAGACTGTCTGGCCCACAGGACAGCACCAACAATGCCCATGAGTCCTTCAAAGTCCTCCCAAATCATGTCTGAGGAGCTCCTGGTGCATGACCGGCTCCTCGGAGGCCCTGTCTACTCCAGGGGTTACACCAAGCGCTGGCTGAGATTTGGGTTTGAACTTGCCTGGGGAGCACTGTCCCCGGCTCTGGGAAGATCAGCTGAGGGCATGAGAAGCAAGGCTGAGGAGGGACAGTCCCATGGGCACTTCTAAAAAGAGACACAAGCTCTGGGGTCTGCTCTCAGTGCTGCCCCCTCTGGTTGCCAAGAGCACAGCACAGGAATCTTGAGCCGTGAAGGTGGGTTGGTGGCCTGGCTGGTCTCTAGCCATTGAAAGGATTCCCAACCTTTCTGGAGTTGGCTGTGCTTTGTTCTTATCTTGCATTTCCTTCCTCAGCGGAGGAGATAAGGAAGGTCTTAAAACACTGGCGACCCTGGGCCAGGGTACCTGATTTGCCAACTGACTTAGGATGGTTGTGTGGTCCCTGGGTAAACCCAAAGTTAGAAGAACTTACCTGCCAGGGGGCCTTGAAGTCTCCAGAAGCAGGATTTGGATGTTTAAGAAGAAATAAGATGTGAATGCTCCCTGTTCTGACCTTGCCCACCCCATCCCCAGCCCACAGGCAGAATGAAGGCAGGGCTCTGAAGGCCCGTGGGTCCACCATTCTGCAGCTCCTTGTCTGGGGCCCTACAACATGCTTCCCCATCTCCTTGCCTGAGGTGCATTTCTGCAAGAACTCATGAGGGACCTGAGTAAAGCAGGGTTCTGAGGACCTTGAGCCCTGTTGTCTTGGAGGGTGGGACACAGGGCGAACACACCGTGGACAAGACTGAGCACAGGTGGCAGTGAGACCCCACCAGTTCCTCAAACTCCAGCCCTGCAACATGCTTCCCCACTCATGGAGGAGAAGGGATCCCTCAAATTCCTGGCTCCCCAGCAAAAAAAAAGCATGAAGCCACAAACCACACCTGTTTGACAAAATACCTGGAAAGTATGTAGAAAAGTCAGCAAAACCAAGATGGCAGCTTTGTCAGTGAAAGGACTGGGCAGAGCACAGCAGGAACTGGTTCCCTCAGAGCTATTTTCTGAAAATGGGCCAGGACCCAAAGGCCAGCACGAGCTCCCAGGCAGGCAGCTGGGGGCTCCCGCAGATGGTCAGGGAGCCCAGGTTGCACTGTGGCTTGAGCCAAGGCCTCTGATGTGGGGTACAGGGGGACCCTCAGAGCCTCCACAGGCCTGCTTCCTCCCAGGTAGACCAAGAGGGTGTCCAGGAAGAGATCAGAGGCCTCAGGCAAGCTCTAACTCAGCCCTCAGTGACCATCACCTAATCCTCCCATTCACATCACTGTCCTCTCCCAAGGCAGAATAAACTGCCCCTTTATAGTGTTCTAGAACACTCTAGTGCTTTCTGAGTTGTTTTCTCTGCTCCCTTGGGAGATGAGGCCGTGGATCCTCTGGCATATGGGAGGTGCGTAAACATTTGTCACATTGCACTGAATAGTAATGAGGAAGCCAGAATGGAGCACACTCCTCACACAGCTAAGAATGACTTCACAGCCTGCCAAATCAAACGAGGCCCTGAGGTCATCAAGTGTGTGACATGCAGCCTGGACAAGACTGAGCACAGTGTGTCTGTGTGCATATGCGGTTTCCATCCTTGCTCCTACACACCACTGCCTGCCACACTAGAGCAAGTACATCTCTGTGGTAGCCCCAGCCGACTGTACCCCTCTGCTTCCCCCACCCTATGCTATGACCCTAGAACAAATGGCAGCGGACCCCTCTGGACATCAGTCATCTCTTTATTCCATTAGTGACCATACAACAGCACCACGGCACAGCAGGGGCCCAGCCTGAGGACCCCGGGGAGGTAAAGAGGGCAGGTGCAGGGAGCCTCAGGGCCCTGGGCTGGCCAAGGTGACAGGAAGAACTCGCCTGCCTCCTCCCCCAGCTACCTGGAGAGAAGCCACCAGGGAGGGGCCACCGTCTGTGCCAGCCCCCAGCCTTCCCCAGAGCACCAGGGCTGCAGCAAGGAGGGAATGTTCCAGATGGGGCCAGTGAAGGGCTTGTGACAGGACTAAGGACAGGCCACTGAGAAGGGGCTGTGTTGTGCGCGTGTGCATGTGCATGTGTGCGTGTGTAAGGTGGAGAGGTGGCTACTCTACTTAGCATACCGGGTTTAACTGCTGAGCCACAGGACCTGCCTGGGGACAACGGAAACCAGATCCAGGGGCCTGAGAGGGTGGAGCCTGAGGGGTGGAAGGCAGAGACTACCCTCTCCACTGCGGCCGCTGGGAGGAGGCAGGTGGCTCCCACTCGAGGCAGGTCTTGGAGCCGTCGCCTCCCCTGGCCCTGGGTAGAGAGGCCGCCTCTGTCCTGACCGTCCTCAAGTATAGGCCATCTTGCTGCACACCCAGGGCCGGGTCATCAGACACTCGGTGGACACCAGCCTGGTGGGCTCCACGAAGACACACTCCCCTGGGCCAGAGATGGTAAACCTGTGGCCAGAGAAGAAACGAGCACTCTCAATGGGCCCGCCTAGCCCTTCCCCGGTGGCAGGGAGGCCCCGCAGCCCTCCTGCCCACTCCATCACTGGGAGCATCTTCCAGGACAGCCAGCCCAGACCACCTGTCAAACCTGGCCTCCCACTGTCTGGCCACCCTGGGCTCTGGCCACCCAAGGCTTCCTGGGCACTGCTGGCCTCACACTGCCCTTCCCCATCTTGCTTCCACGTCCTTCAGGGTCAGCTCCATGTCCTGTGCTCCCAAGTCCCCAGCTCAGGACCACCCTCCACCCTCCCTGCCTGCACCCCAGAGCACCTCTCCTGGCAGCCTCAGGGGATTGTGACTATCACCACTAATGCCTGAGCATCCAGCTTCTGCACAGCAGGGGCTGTGCAGCTCTCATCTTGGGTCCCCAAAGGTGCCTGGTGTCTTGCGGTGGGCTAGACTCAGCAGAGACAGGATGAATTAAACTCTCCTCACAGGTCAGGGGCAGATCAGGACAACCCCAGTAATATCAGACTGCTGAACTATAACACAGGAATCTACTGACGCCATGAGTGGACCTGTGCATGTCAAGAAAACCTCACTTGTCCACCCAGATTTCTGATCCCTGGCATCTGGGCTCCCACAAGAGAGGACATCAGAAGAGCCCAGAGGGTGAGGTCCTTGCCTGGTACTCAGCCCTTCTGTGTCCCCAGCCTTTAGGGGTCTCCCAAGCTCTGAGTTAAGGGCGGGGTACGGAGGAGAAATGAAGAGGCACTGAGGACCAAGACGGGGTGACGCTGAAAAGCACAGGGGGCAAGAGGGAGCGAAGGGGAAGGCTGCCCCCAAGCCCTTCACCCTTGAAGGCTGCCGGAACTGCTGTGCCCTAAGCCAGCTCCGGGGGGAGGATGGCTCATCACCAGTTCTGGCTCCCAGGAGGGTCTGAGGGCCTCTCTACCCTTCTGCATTAGCTCCTGCCCTGGGACCCTCGGACGCCATCATCATCAGGTTAGCAGCTGTGCAGACTGCAGAGTCTAGACTAGGAGCCCAGGTTCCCGTTACCCTCCATGTCCTCCCCACGTGTCCCTGAGCCCAGACTGGCCCCCCACGTATCTACACTATCACCACCCTGTTACCACGCCACGCTGCCACTATCACCCCACATCAGCCAGCGTGCGTGGCACCACACCCCTCGGTCCACACTACGTGGGCCACACCAGTCGGACCACGGCTGCACATGATGCCACCATGGGAAGACCTGAGCCTGAGACGAATAACTGCCGTCAGATCCCCTTTCTTCCACAGTGAGCGCATGCGCAGCACGCTGTGGCCCAGAACTGGGATTCCGCCTTCCACCCTACCTTGCGGCAGGGTGCGGTCATGTGACTAACTTCTGGCCAATGGAGGACGTCCAGGGCACGCCTCCCCTTCCCTCTCCCCCTGTGGCTGAGCAGGGTGGGCGGAGCATGTGGAGGGGGCGTGCCAAGGGCGGGGCACAGACAGTGAGGCTGGCCAGACGCCGCGAAGCTCTGATGGCCATGTGGACAGGGCCACCAGACCAGGCTGGACCGCAGGGAAGGAGAAGGGAAGCGATTTTCACCGACGGTCTCTGCCCGGGACTGTATCTCTAGCTCCCAGGAAACCCTGTGACTTTCTCACAAAGTGGGGTCTGCGGCTTAGGGCCTCCCCGCTAAGCTCCCTGGTCTTCTAGAAGGTGAAGTCTCAGCTCACGTGTCGGGGTCAAAGGGGTCCCCGTTGACCCAGTGGAATTCATCGCCAACTCTGCGCAGGCCAATCCAGGGCTCCCTCCGCGTGAACTTGAACATAAATTCCTGCAAAAGGAGAGGGAAAGCTGGGCGTCAGGTGCAGTCTCCCGGCTGGGGCTCGCCCTGCGACAGAAACCCTGGCTCCTGTACGGGTCCTGCGGGGGCGTCAGCCAGGGTTGGGGAGCTCCCGGCTGCAGGGCGCGTGCCCGCAGTGCCCGAGGAGCCAGGAACCCCAGGGCACCAAGAAGTTGGCGGGTTCTCCTTCTTCCGCGTTCCTATTGATGAAGCTGTTGGGGTGTTAAGTAAGAGCTTGTCCTGACTTGGAGCAGTAGATTGGCGGTGCGTTTTTACATTTCCCAGGTGTCTGTCATTGTGATTCTTGTGCTTTATGATACCAGTAAGTAAGTGGCCTTGACAGTGGGGGTGGGACCTGTTCAGATCCCGGTGATTCTCGCCTGCATCCCAGTGTCTGGGTGGCCTGGGGACAGTCAGGGGACACTGTGTGCTTGGGTGTTGGTCTCCCCTTACAGCCAGGTTGGGGCCCTGGGGGTCCCTCCCTTTGACTCCACAGCACTCACCAGCTCCTTCTGGCTCTGAATGACCGCCAGCGCGGCCTCGTGGGTGTGGCAGTACTGTCTGCCCGTGTTCCAGTCCCTCGGCTCCTCCGAGAAGAAGTAGCACTTTCTTCCATAGAGCAGCCAGTCCTCAGGGCAGGGTGCCTCGCACTTGATACAGCCTTTGGAAGCTGCAGGGCAGAGGGTGGGTTGGCACATGCCATCACACCTGGCCACCACCTGACCCCCAGGAAGCCCACTTCACTGCCCACCCCTCCACCTCGATTTTGGAACCCTTCAGAGACACCCTGGATGTCACAGTGCCTGGAGGTGACAGGTCAGTGGCTCAAAGAATAAGAGGATCTGGGGAAGGTGGCCAGTGCATTACGCCAGGGGTGGTGACATCAGCTTAGCTCCTGGGTAGGCTCTCCTCTCTCCCAGTTCCCAGAGGCACAGAATCCCAGAAACTCAGACTGGGAAAAGACCCAGAAGCGCCACTCCTCTCCCTGCAGCCAGCATAGGACCATCTGCAGGATGGTTTCCTTAACCCCACTTTCCTTAACCCCTCAGCCCCTCATTATCTAGCAAAGCAGTTGTGTCCACCCCTGACCTACTAGAAAGTTCTTTTTAAATACTGAGCCTAGGCCTGCCCTCCTGTGACCTAAACCTAGGACCCACAAGTCCAGGCTCTGCCCTCTGGGGTGACCAAAAGAGACCATTCCATCTTCTCCTGCCTGAAGGGGGACATCATCCTCCCCTGTGCCTGGCTCTCATAGATGCCCTCTCCTCCCAGCAGGACAGCTCCTCACCCTGCCTATACTGCAGTGTCCCCACATCACCACTGAAACCTGCCACCAGCACACAGGAGTACAGTGGCCTCATCAGTTTCCAGTTGCCATGCCCTGCGTCTGCAGAGGCCTCAGTGAGTGCACCCTGCAGATGAGCACTTTTCTGGGAAGGAAGCTCAGTGTCTCCATCAAACTAGCAGAGGGCCTCCTTGCTAAAAGGAATAAAAGCCATGTCCTTAGATTGTTTGGGGAACACCTGTTTCCAAGTCAGGCCTCCCAGTGTTCAAAACAGGTATATCACCTTTAAAATCCAAATCCAAAAACTTATATTTACTTCTTCCTCATTTATTACATTCATCATTTGAGTTCATAAAGGTAAATTTTAATCTTAATATTTTACCCCCAGGGGCCCACAGCATGTGGACACTGACTAATTGGTGGCCCTCCCTGGGTGTGCCTGTTCAGTGAGATGCAAGTCCACTTAGGAGCGAGGGCCTGAGGTGCTATCTTTCAACCAATCCCCACAGAATCTGCTGAGAGACTCTGGTGCTTCATGGAAATCATCCTATGTGATGGCCACACAGTGTCCTGACCCCCCACCCAGCAATAGGATAAAAAGGAAAGTGGTTTAGTCTGCAGTAATTATTCTAGGTAAATCCAAGCTGGTGCTGGTGACCACTGTATCTATTCCTAACGCTCTCGACCCTTCTCCTATTGTGCAATATACAGGGGAGGATTTGGCAGGGTTGGAAACCGTTGGTAGACCTTTCCCTGTTTTAAGGAGTCTATCCCTGGTCTTACAGCACTTCCCAAAAATTAAAGACAGGAGCACGGAAATCACTCCTGCATACCCTACAGAAGCCACAACACACTTTGACTTCAAACCCTCAAGAGTGGCCAAATTCAGGGCTGGGGCTGGGGCTCAGTAGAGTGCTCGCCTAGCACATGTGAGGCACTGGGTTCAATCCTGGGCAATACATAAAAATAAATAAGTAAAATAAAAATAATGTGTCCAACTACAACTAAAAAAATGTTTAAATAAAAATTAAAAATAGAGTAGCCAAATTCCCTATCACAGAAGCTCACCCACTCTTTTTTTTATTTCTTTGACCTTTTCAGTCCTGCAGGACACTCCATGTTTCTTAGGCTTCTCCCCCTTAGAATGTTCTCTTCCCTCGATGGGGTCCAGTATGTACCACCCTAAAACACTTGAGCTTAAGAATTATTCTGTACTGGAGGTAACTACAGATTAACAGGTACAGAAAGAGTTCTCTGCCCTCCACTGCCTAAAAGCAGGGCATACATTTCCCTTGTGAGGTTCTCTCTCACTTCTCTCTCCCCCACCCTTTCCCTTTCTCTCTCTCTCTCTCTCACACACACACACACACA